ATGATTAGAGACTACTTTTCTATGAAGAAGTTTGTAATTATAGAATCAATATAAAATTTTCTATCTTGTGGAATAAAAAGTCAGTTAGTTTATGGATATTTATTTATAATCTACGTTCATTTTGTACGCAATTTTCGTGTGAATGTTATTGTGTTGATTTTTGGATTTTTCTAGTGTTTTGTTAGTGTTTTATTATAAAATTGTAATGAAAGTTTTTGTGTGAATATATTTTTATCTTTTTGCGTAAATAAATTCGAGTGATGTATATAAAAATAATTGTGATTTTCACGTTGACGACATCTGCTTGGTATGTTTTTTTTTGTTATCAAAATACAATAAAATCTTTTTGTAATGAAGTAAAACCTGACTTGTTTATTTTGTATAGATTTTATAATGCCAAACTTCTTCATATACAAAGTAGTCTCTAAATATAAGTTTTAGTGGTTTAAAGTGCTGTGGGTGGGTGCGGTCGCATGCGACCGCTCGGGATATGCTGGACGCATGCGACTGTATGGGATTTTTATGGGGATTGAAGGGCTAATAAATGCAAATGCATCTGTATATTATATAAATGTGCCATTAGTCTTGCTTAGTTGCAAGTTGTTTCCATGATTAAACTCACAAACAAGCAATTATGCATTATAATACTAATAAGTATAGATTGGTCGAAGCACAGTTATTTGCAAAAATAAGTAGAAAAAGGCTGTCCATCTTATTTTTTTACATTTACTTCTTGCGCAAAATAGTCATAGATCACCTGGTTATAAAGGTTCAGCCAATTGTTTGTTCCAGATCATTCAATTATTGCAATCATCAATATCCTTACATGACCTGAGTCAAATGAATTAATCATTTATGATTCTCATGGTCATGTCTAAATCACAATGTGAAAATAGGCTTCCCCCCTAAAAAAAAACAACAATCTTTTTCATCTTTATAAATATTTTAAATCTCTCTTTTATTTTGGGCTACTACTAGTTAATTAAATGCATTTTCTTTTGAGAATATTTATAAGTTATAATTCAACTCTTTTTTCACAAATCTTTTATTTAAAAATTTTACTACTTACTTACTTATCTTCACGCACAATCCCTAACGGGGTAGCCAGAGAAAAAATTTTACTACTTACTTACTTATCTTCACGCACAATCCCTAACGGGGTAGCCAGAGAGAACAGATCGCCAAGTGTCACGATCCTTACATACCTCTTTCGCTTCTTTCAGGTTCATTTAACTTCTTCATACATGCACGTCTAGGTATCCGAGTACTCTTGACCCTCCCCTCTTCGAGCAATTTGCTCACATGGTCTTCGAAAGTTAGTCTCGGTCTACCTCGACACCTTTTAATATTTACTTTCGCTTTATATATTTTCTTCACCATTCGGTCTTCACTCATTCGTTCAACGTGCCCAAACCATTTGAGTACGCCCCTATCAATTTTTGTGATAAGGTCATCTTTCAGTCCTGCCATATTGCGAATCTCTTCGTTTCGCTTTCGGTCGGCTATGGTAACGCCACACATTTTACGAAGAGATCGCATCTCCACTGCATTCAACTTGCTTTTATGCTTCTTCTGGCATACCCAGGTTTCGCTGCCATATAACAAAGTCGGTACCAACACTGCGTTATGTATTGCAAGGCGTGCACTCTTCACTACGCCTTGCCTTTTTACTAATGCATTCAGGGCACCATTGACTTTGTTTCCGGCAGCGACACGCGTATCCACATCTAAATCACATCTTCCATCCCGGCTGAAAGCACACTCCCCAAGTATACAAAAATAAAAATTAAAATTTTGCATATTTTTTATGTGGATGTTTATTTGATAAACTCTTGCTCCCTTACATGACCTGTCAAAAAATAAGATTCTCATGAATCGGAAAGGCTTCCCCCAAAAAAACAACAATCTTTTTCATCTTTATAAATATTTTAATCTCTCTTTTATTTTGGCTTCTACTTAATATGCATTTTCTTTTGAGAATATTTATAAGTTATAATTCAACTCTTTTTTTTCACAAATCTTTTTAAAAATTTTGCATATTTTTTATGTGGATGTTTATTTGACAAACTCACATCTAAAGTAAAGTTACAGCCTATATACGTCCCACTGCTGAGCACAGGCCTCTCCTCATTTCTGAGAGGGTTTTAGGGCAAGGAAGTGTCCGCCGCGCTGCCCCAATGTGTGTTGGCGAACTTCACATATCTTCGAAATAATTTTTTTCTTATTCCTCAGACGTGCAGGTTTCCTCACGATGTTTTCCTTCACTGCCGAGCACATGGTAAAATCAGCACTTAAAATTGCAATTAATAATTTCATTGATGCTGGCGGGGATCGAACCCAGTTTACTCGCGTTCTGTTATATTTACAGCGAGCGTTAAGCATCTGAGCTACCACAGCTCCTGTACGTCTGTCACTCACGTCTGCAACTCACGTCTGTCATCCTGAAAATCTGTCATGTCCTGAAAATTACAGTCTTGCCACTTTCTCGATGCTACGTCAGGCGGGCCGACATCGCATTTCGGTTCTAAAAGGTCCCATTTTGAACGCGCGCAGATTAAGATGTGCATATGATGATGATGTATTTGCTATCCAAATACCATGCGGATAACTTTTCTACCACCAAATATAGATGATCTGAATATGCCATCTTTGTTATGTAGTCTGTGCGTTATTAAATAATATAACAGAAATATTTTAGCAAAAATTATTTCTAGGTGGAGTCTGGTGACCGAGCTGCCTTCTCTAAACTGGTGGAGGCGATCAGAACGAATTTCAACGAGCGGTACGAAGAGCTGCGCAGACACTGGGGCGGTGGCGTGCTTGGTAACAAGTCCAATGCACGTATCGCTAAGCTCGAGAAGGCTAGAGCGCGTGAAATAGCGCAGAAGCAAGGCTAAGCGCAATAAACTTTAATTGTATACTTTGTTGTTTTATTTATTATTCAATTCTTCAATAGACGCTGTTATATCTTTATAAAACGAGTTTGATAGCAGCTGTCTCAACATTGATGAGACTTCCAACCTTTTTACTGCATATGCTGCAGGACTAAGACTGCCTGCTAATTTTTTTTTATTATTCTAAGCCAGCACTTAACCCTTTACCAGGCCCCAGAGAACTGCCGTAGCAACATTGTTTCTTTTTATGGATTTGTATACTTATAAAGGCTTTGTTTCATATTGCATCACTGAAACTGAAAAAAAAAATGCTAAAAACATGAAAAAAAAACATGTGGGAAAACATAATCCCATTGCCCGCCTTGAGATTGAGATTGACTATATATATAAATGAAAATGAGTTTCTGTTGAGTTTTTTTTATATATCGGACTAAACAGGCGTTTAACCTTTTGAGCGCCAAAGTCGTCTATAAGTGACCAGCGCCCGCGGGCCCTGAGCGCCAACGACGTCTATAGTTTACAAAAAACCCGTCCCACGAAAATATGAAATATAGACATTGGAAAATTATTACTGGTATTTTAATTCTACACCCCCTCAAAAACGAATAACCCAGCAACATGTGAGTATAAAAAACAAGTCTCCTAGAGCCACAAGTACTAAGAAACATTGAACTAAAAAAAAAAATGGATTTTTATCTAAGCAAATACTATGTCCAGCACGCCAAAGTCGTCTATGTTTGTCCGCTAGTGTTGTAATGCGTTAATTGAAAACTATTCAAAATTAAGCTCAAACGTGTTTTTTTTGTCTATTATTATTGATATTTAACCCATTCCATGCCAGCAACGCACACGCGTGCGTTTTAGTTTTTTTTACTTGTGTGCCTGCAACGCACCGTATGCGTGTAGTGTATGTTTTAATGAAGTATCATTTATTCACTGTGCGTTGCATTATTGTTGCCATTTTTTAATTTACCTCAATCTAGATTATATTTCTGATATAGCAACACCGTTACAGTAGTAAAAGAAATGTTACATTTGAATTGACGCCGGTTTTTGTGTTTGTGATTTTTGCTAGTATTATAAATCAAGTTTTTACGGTGATTTAGGTGTTAAAAGGTAAGTAAATATGATTTTTAAATCAAATTTAGTCATTTATATATAACAACAATGTAATTTTAAGTCTACTGATAATATTTTGGATAAATTTTGAAGTCCAAAACATACCAACGCTAATGGTGCGTTCAATGGCATTTATGAACGACTTTGTTCATGGATGGTGTTAGACATCGACAATAATCGGTCGCTCAATGTTACTTCTGCTATTGTAACTTTATAGGAATGTTATTTTATAACTTGTGATATTTTACTGCAGTGTTCGTATTACATACCCTACATGGTACAAAATAAAACCGTTTGTGAAAAAACGCTTTTATTTTTAAATTTGAATGGGATGAATTGTGTAAAGTAACTAGTATTTTTGTCGTTTATAGGTCTTTTGTTTTCTCCTTAAGCATTATGGCAAATAATAATAGAGGTCGTCGTTTGGTTGAATTGTCACTTAATACTGCTGAAGGTACTAATTTACAAGCTAGAAAAGAAAGTTATTCACAAGATAGGTGAGTTAATAATACAGACAGTTGATCTTTATCTATTAATATGAATAGTTAGAATGATTTTATCTATTTAAATCAATATATTGAATGTTGTTATTTTTTAAAGTTTAACAAATCGGATAATAAATAAAAATGTTTCAGAGATAAAAGTAGCACATCAGGTTTAAAGCGGAAAAGGGCGAGCTCTTTATATACGGCTGTAGAAATGGAACCTAAGAATATTCGGCGAAATTCTATTGAAACACGATGCCCAATATTGCCATTCCCACATTCTGTTCAAAGGTAGGTAACCTACACATTTCTTTTCTTTAGTTTTGAGAGTATTTTTTAAGTTTAGTTTTTCAATAGAATATTGTTGTTTCAGTAAACAACAACTATTCAATCAGTCTCCAGTACTTTGCACATCTTGTAGTGGTGTAGTTAACAAGTTTTAACTTGGTCTGTCGAAAATTTGTCAGAATTACATTCAACTTCGAAGGCCATTGTAATCGATATGGTTGCCCAAGCAGACTGTGATGACAAGACTTCACCAACTGAAATAAATTATTCAAATTCGTGTAATGAACATTCGACCTTACGTAATGAACCTTCGACTTCGTGTAATGAACCTTCGACGTCATATATTGAACCTTCGACCTCATATAATGAACCTTCCACCGCATATAATGAACCCACGACATCGTTCAAAAATATTGAGATTTCATTGCCTATCGGAGAAAGCAATAAACGATGTGTAAGAACAAGAGGTGGACATGTTGGAAAAAGTTCCAGGACCGGAAAAATATTGAAACAAAACTCAGAAACAGAAACAGATGTAGCTGGCCAAGGGAAAAGACGAAGAGTTAGAACTAGAGGAGGTTCTGCATCTTCTATCACTCACCAGTTAAGAACTGGTCGTGACTTGTGTCAAATATATAGTGTACAAGTGCCTATTGAGGAGGAGCTTTCGGCAATATTAAATGATAATGATGAGCGAGATAATTGCGCAAGGGCCCAATTTCAGGCGCAAGAACTTTCAGATAAACAACTTCTGGACATACTTGAAGCTTCTGATGACAATTTCGATGATGAGGTTCTAGATGAAAATTTTCTTAACAATTTTGATGATTCTGATTCAGATGATGATAATATGATACCAACTGAAACCTTCGCACCTCCAACTAGTGATGGTGAGTGTTTAAATTGGTCGGACCAAATATCCCACATAAAAGATATTGCTTTTATAGGAAACCCAATGGGGTTAAATGTACAACTAGAAGCAACTGAACCTATCAACTTTTTTAATTTAATTATGACAGATTACGTAATTCAGGACATCATTGATAAAACCAATCGTAATGCAAGCAATATCCTTGCAAAAAGTTTACCCGGAAGTCGAATACACTACTGGAAAAATGTAACAGTTTCAGAATTCAAAATATTTTTGGGGCTACTTTTCCATATGGGTACAATAAAATTAAATAGAATACAAGATTATTGGAAGAAGCACAGACTATTCAACCTGACCTGTTTTAGTGAGCACATGAGTCGAAATCGTTTTTTACTAATTCTAAGAGCAATGCACTTTGAAAATATAGAATCAGATGATAACAGATTAGCGAAAATTTCACCTTTGGTTATGTTTTTCAATAATAGGATGACAGAAATATACAACCCTGTACAGAATTTATGTATTGATGAGTCCCTTGTATTGTGGCGCGGTCGACTAATATTCAGACAATACATAAAGAATAAAAGCCAGAAATATGGTATAAAATTATATATTTTGACTGATGCAAACGGAATAATACTAAAACAAATAGTGTATGCCGGCGCAGGAGACCCAATTGTAGGTGGCGTGAATCATTCCTCAAAAGTAGTTTTACAGCTATTACATGATTTTTTGAATAAAGGCTACTCTGTTTTTATGGACAACTTTTATAATTCTGTTGATCTGACAGAAAAATTATTATCTGAAAATACTTACTGCACCGGAACTTTACGATTAAATCGAAAAAATAACCCAAAGTACATTACTACTAAAAAGTTAAAGAAAGGCGAATGTGTCTCGCAGTTCAACCAAAATGGCGTTTGTGTCATGAAATGGCGGGATAACAGAGACGTCACTATGATATCATCACAATTTAATTCGCAAATGATTACTACCACTACAAGAAGAAATACAGAGGTCTCAAAGCCTAAAATGGTTGTAGAATATAATCGTAACATGGGTGGTATTGATCACCAAGATCAAATGATAGCGTACTATTGCTGCGAACATAAGTCTATCAGGTGGTACATAAAATTGGGAATCCACCTGTTGCAACAAATGATGTACAATTCATTTACTTTATCTAATTTGTTTTCTGGCAAAAAACTAAGTTACTACGAATTCAGGCAATCAGTTATAGAAAATTTACTTCCCGAGGCTAAGGTCCAAAAAACTGGAGAGGTCTCAGAAGAAGGGGTTATACTTAATATTGTTCATATAATTCAGCCTTGCCCACGGAAAGGAAAATCAATGCGCAGAAGATGCAAATATTGCTGGGAAGTCAATAAAATACGTAAAGATACACCATTCTACTGTCCAAATTGCCCTCAGCAGCCTGGATTTTGTATTGTTGATTGTTTTAGATTATACCACAAATATACATAGTGCACGCACACACACACACACATACACACTCGCGCGCACGCGTTATGGTTGAGGTCGTGTTATATTACTAGATGGTGCTCGTATCAAGTTATATTCCTAGTAAGACAGTTATGAGCCGAGTTCATGTGACTGTATTACGGTATATGTATAGCTATATCATAAGGGATATAACTATATCACGGTTTCAACCATCTTACTACGACATATATATTTAACATAGTTATACGAAAGCGATTCATTACTACTTTATGCTCGCAATCTGGTAATACATTTATTTGACTAAACTAATCTGGTTAAATAATTATAAATCTCCCATAGAATCAAATAAAACAATATATTGGTTTTTGTTTTTATTACTAAATCAACTTATTGTAACTGATTGTTACAATACTTTGTTGCAATAGAATTTATTACTACTAATTTTTAAAATTTTTAATTTTTAAAATTTATTACTAGTAATTACAATTACAATTAATATTAAAAACGATTGTATTTTGTATATAAGCATTAACGATACAATTGGGAAAACTGATTATTTGTGAAAAACCTGGTACTTCTTGCGTGAATTTTCTTTAATCCCATATTTCTCAGCATTTTTTTTAAAATTCTAACTACACTCCTACAATTATTTCACTAAACTTAATTAAGTAATACAATTATATCAGTAAACTTGAACCGTATTATACTTATATTCCTAGTGAGATAGTAATGAATCGCTTTTGTATAACTATTATATCCCTAGGGATATAACTATATTAAGACTTTATCTATCATACTGCGACATATACAAATTTTTATATGTCGCAGTATGATAGATAAAGTCATATACGTATTTTCTGCTAGAATACCTACATTGCTTAATCTTTTAGCTTTTTTTAGATACTGTTTTACATAACTGTGTTGAAGCTCTTGGTATAAATATTTTCTGTATTTGCTAAATAAATATTTTTTCATTTTACTATAATAATTATTATGAAAATACGTACTTATAATATAATTATGAAAAAGGAGAATTAAAGACTGCTTTGATCTTATATGAGTATTTTTATTTCTGTCACCTACTCTACACCCTAACAATTTAATTATTAGTTCATGTTTCCCAGTCGTGCATAAAGCCATCCACTATATACTCTCAAAAGTGCGTTCTCGGATCTCTCGAAAAACTTTTTTCACCATGTGCCACCCACGCACCGTATGCGTTTGGTGTATTTTTTCGTATTTATCAACAATATTTATTTAAAAAAAATCTAAATACATCATTAGTAATCCATTTCCTACCATAAAACATAATAAAAACTGGTGGCACCTGGTCAACAACTTTTAAAAAAAGGTGGCATCGAATGGGTTAAATAAAACAAAAGGTTAGAAATATAAAACTATAATTAGCTACATGAATAAAAAAAAATAATCAAATTATCTTCGCATAATAAGTAATATCTCAACTCTGGCGCATCCTTAAAACGGGCTACACACGAGACGATATCGGTGGCGATCTAGGGTGGAAAGAAATCGGGGCTTTTATCGGGGCAGACCCTACACACGGGCCTGCCTAGCAGTACGCGTTCGGACTTGGAGCGGAACACATATGCGGTAGAGTTCTTCAAAATAGCTTCAACTCTCTTAAAACACCAATGTATTGGTTTGGCATTAGCCCTCTCGGTAAATTTATTCGAAAATAGAAAAAGAGGAGTTGCTGGGTGAAAAAATGGCTCCAAAAGAGACAAAAATTAAGCCACATAAACGTACTAAATGATCTGTATTCCAAAGACATGATTAATTTTCTCCGGATGGATGAAGACAGTTTTTATAACCTTCTAGAAATGATTTCTCCACTTATATAAAAACATCAATTTCTCCTATGTACCTATGCTATTTAGTTATTTCTTCTCTTTGTTCATTTCTGCTTTGGTCAAAATCTGGTTATGTATTACACACAACAAACAAGGAAATAAAATACTTTTGTATAATAATATGTATACTTTTTTTAATGTAATCTTTATTTATGGAGTAAAACTATGAGAAAATAAAATAGCTTATATCTTTTTTTAAACATAAAGAAACCTTTAATTTCGGACATACTCCCTTTTATATAACTTGTTTGTTGATGTGGAGATGGTGAAGGAGTAGAAGTTAGTTGTTTATAAGAGGATGAAGGCACGTAAGAGATCGAATTTTGGTCTTGTGGAGTTGTAAGAGATATGAGTGCGGTCTTGTGTTGATAGTGTTGGAATAGGAGTTAGTTGTTGAGGAGAGGCTTTATCTTCTCCTTACTTACATCATACACTCTACTTTACGAACGGCAATAAAAAATTAGTTTAGTAGGCATTCTTGACCATGTCACTTCGCAGGGTCACAGGCTAGGGTGGATATGATTTGAATTTCGATTAAATTTCATTTAATTTATTTATTTTATTCACTTTTTTTTTGGTTTTTTGTAAAATATCAGTGCCATAGGCTTCTGCTCCGTTTATATGATTAAAATGTAAAAATTTTGTTACATAAAAAAAGGTCATTCAGTATCACTGTTTTGTTAACTTCCTTCCGCGAGGGTTGCCGGCAGCGACTGCCAAAAGAAATCGGGCCGGGACGCAGTAAGGAGGGGGCGGTGCCCCGATCTAGGAAGCATCGGCTGATCTAGGAAGCATTTTTGCTCCTGCCAGCCGATTAAGGAGGCGATATCGGCTACGACTTAGGATGGCTCTACATACGACACGATTTAGAGGCAATCTAGGAGGCATCCCCACTACTCCACCCTAGATCGCCACCGATATCGTGTCGTATGTAGCCCGCTTTAGCGCGACATCGAAAATCAGTTCACTGGGCGCCGTGGTCAAGTATAGACGACACGCTGATGACGTCATAAGCGATTAGCGGGAAAATTAGTGCAGTGCAACATGAACGATTCCTCAGAACTCATTCGGATTTTGGAAAGCGTCGACGATGATGAATTTTCGGAATCTGAATCATTACCTGAAGATTTAAGTGAGGTAAGTGTCTTTAAGTTCCTAATAAATTAAACTTATTTTACTAACATGCATATTGCCTATTTTATGTATCTATTATTTTATAATATTTTGTTTAATTTTAAATATAATAAGTTCGATACAAAATGAAACTGTTTCCCGGGCGACTCTTGTGAGCACATTTTTTATGTTTTTGTTTTCGAGTTTAGAATAACTCATCATGTTCGTTTACTTTTAAACTGCAACTAGTAGATATTTTTTTCTGTCAAAAAGCTAATGGTAATATTGTTTAGCGAAATAAATATCTTAAACCATATTTCACAATAATCCTTCCGAAAAGTAGGTACCGTGAGTAGACCATAAATCATAAATCAACCTAATGAAAAAGCATTGTCCAAAATAGTATATCGACTTTCTACCTTTCGGCATTACAATCGTTTCGAATAGTATTGTGAGTAGACTAAAAATTAATGTAATGGCAAAACATTAAGATTTAAAATAGCGTGTCGACTTAGTACTAAATTGCTCTTTTGTTCTCGGCGGCGACGTTCTTTTTTTGTTACTAACACTTTCGCGTCTTACAGTAATCAAAGGCTTTCTCACACATACTATCTACAATGATAATAATTACATACATTTTTCTTCATGACAAGTTTTCTCGTGAATTGTATTTTTTTTTAATCAAAATATTGTATTTTTACAGAGACATGTATTATGACTGGGGTCTTCATCAATTGGACACTTTAGTTGAGAGAGTTGAGTACGATGACAACCATTTTAAATCACTTACACGGTTTGGATATCATGCACTTCATCATTATTTTCCAATGTTGGATCATGCAGAACTGAAATATCTTTATCCTACATTTCTTGAGCACTGCGAGAAATTTGGAGTTGAATTTCGAACATCCACATATTATAAATCGTTTATCAGTCATAGTAAGCAATTATTAAGGAAACGCCTCAACAATTTTAAAGAAAAAAAACTTTGTACGTTAAATATATACGCTATAACTTAACGTACAGAAAATACTTCTGACCATACTCTAATAAATGACTTTGGATATTATTTTTCGATGACTAATAAATTAGGATTTTGAACTATATACTTCTTATAAGGAAATAATATTATTTTTAAAATATTTTTATTATACGTATTTATAAAGTAAAATATGTATGTTTAAAAAAAATTATTCATTAATGGCATTAAGTTTTGACTAGTAGGTCTATTGGTAGCGTTTAATTTTGTGAATTAAGAATATAAATAACTATCCTCGATTACGAATCAAAATGCAGATGCGCTCTCACCCGTGAGGACTTAGATGGAATGCCTCGTTTCCAGTAAAGAGGGTCTCCGGTTCTCTACACTTACCATACGAAACACAGCAGTATTAAGCTACTATTTGACGCCGGTATTCCGTGAGAGCGTGGTTCTTCCCCGGTTGAGCCGACCCATTCGTGCTACAACTACTCTCCCGTAATATAACTACAGCATGGCTCTACCATGTTAAAAATTTGCTTTGGCCAGCTAAACATTTATGTTTTATTATTCCATAAGATTCTTATTATTTTAAGACTAATATTACCTATAATTTATTAATTATTTTTAATTGTTGTTTTCTATATTAAGTACTGATTGAGTTAAAGACCAAGATTTTAATATTTTAAGACTAGACCCAGTGCAAATAATTATATACAATTGTTGATTAGTGAATAATTATGTACCATTTGTTGATTTCTGTAATAAGTCATTAAGACCAAGATTTTAATATTATGAGACTGATTTTTCTAGTGCGAATAATTATATACAATTGTTGATTGGTGGATAATTATGTACCATTTGTTGATTTTTATAATAATTACTGATTTTTTATTCCATGACCAAGATTTTATTATTGTAAGACTGATTTTCCTAGTGCGAATAATTATATACAATTTATATTATATACAAGTTTCAAAAAGAAAGGTCAGCTACGCCGTTGTCGTCCAGTCGTGACAGTGACGTCATCACGATGGAGAGTAGTGTTGTGGTTTACTACTATTTTATTGATATTGTTTGTTTTTTATTTATGTACAAAGTACATATATAAAAAGAGTGGAAGACAGCACAAGATTAAATAAAACATACCCGATTATAAAGAGTCATTTATTGCATAAAAAACCAACAAAAACCAGTTACTTTGTGTTATCGATATATTAACTCTTGTCAGCACTGTTTTTTTCGTAGGTATTTTTGTTTACTTTTCGCTTTGGCGTACAGGACACGGTAGTGAGTTTTTGGCGTGACGCTCAAAAGGTTAACCGCAATCTCACCTGTTGGTGGTCACCTGATGATGTGGCCTAAGTTGGAGCATGCCTGCATTTTTACTACTTTTTATGTTTGATATTTATTTATTAGTTTATGTTATAGACCTAAATTTATTCATAATTCCTAAAATGAAATGAAAAATTTTATTATTTCCTTATTATTTATTGTCATAAAAATAATATAAGAATTGAACAGAAAGGTAAAGAATAAGTAAATAATAATTCCGATAGAGTTAATATTTTATAGGAATTATTATTATTTACTTATTCTTTACTGTCATAAAAAATTAATGATTTCTTATATTTACGCGAACACTACACATTGAAATAATACTAATTTTTACGGAATTTATCGCGTATATTTAACTTTTTTACCCGACGTTTCGAGAGCTTTACAGCACCCATGGTCACGGGAAGGACTGAGATGTTCAACGTCCAGCTGTCATAGTTAACCGCGGTTACCATAGATTAAAATTTAACTTTTGTTCCGATCTACACAGTATGAACTTATGGTATCATGGAGTCTTGCAGTTGTATGCTTGGGTTGGGATTTAATTTTATTTATTATAGGATCCCAAGCAGATGGTAGCACCCAGCCATCTTCTCTATTGAAATTAGGATGTTTTTTGCTGGAAGAAAACAACATGCCCGTAGAATATGCAGTATTACTCAGACACTGCCTTACATCTGGCTACCTATTGTGGAAGGAGGAGTTCTACAAGCAAGTAGATGGTGTGGCGATGGGCTCACCTGTATCTCCCATTGTCGCCGACATATTCATGGAAGACTTTGAGGAGAAAGCCCTGCTTACTTCTCCCATAAATCCAAGATTCTACAAGCGGTACGTAGACGACACTTTCACAATTCTACCTTTAGATAAAGTAACTGCATTTTTAGACCATCTTAACTCTATAAATACTAAAATTCAGTTCACAATGGAGTTAGAGGCAAACAATTCCTTAGCTTTTCTAGATGTGTTAGTAATTCGGAATCCTGATAACACCTTGAGCCATACTGTGTATAGAAAAAAAGACCCATACAGATAGATATTTAAACGGTGATTCTCACCACCATCCTTCACAGTTAGCTACCGTGGGTAAATCTTTGTTTCAGAGAGCACGAGGGATCTGTGACAGTAAACACCTGGCTGCCGAGCTCCAACATGTCAAGCAAGTTTTGCATGACAACAAGCTTCGGGTCCCGCGCCTACGTCACAGAGAACGAGTGAAGCCGGCCACAGTCGAGCGTGTACCTGCTGTACTGCCATATGTTAGAGGAGTCACTGACAAGATTGGCTACATCTTGAAGCGCGCTTCCATCAAAACATACTTCAAGCCGCCGAAGAAGATTGGTCAGTTTTTACCATCAGTCAAGTGTAACGTCCCTCTGCAAGATGCAGGAGTGTACAAGCTTGATTGTGAATGTGGTTTCTCCTACATAGGACAAACTAAAAGATCAATTAAAACCCGCGTCAAAGAACATATAGCTGATGTGAAGAATCGACGCTCCGGGAAGTCTGCAGTCTGTGAACATGTACAGGATCGCCCCCGTCACTACATCAGATTTGATAGACCACAAATCCTCGCTAAAGAACACCGATTCCTTCCAAGGATGATTCGCGAGGCTATTGAAATCAAAAAACATCCTAATTTCAATAGAGAAGATGGCTGGGTGCTACCATCTGCTTGGGATCCTATAATAAATAAAATTAAATCCCAACCCAAGCATACAACTGCAAGACTCCATGATACCATAAGTTCATACTGTGTAGATCGGAACAAAAGTTAAATTTTAATCTATGGTAACCGCGGTTAACTATGACAGCTGGACGTTGAACATCTCAGTCCTTCCCGTGACCATGGGTGCTGTAAAGCTCTCGAAACGTCGGGTAAAAAAAGTTAAATATACGCGATAAATTCCGTAAAAATTAGTATTATTTCAATAAAAAATTAAGATAAGAATCGAATAGAAAGGTCTTATTCTATAGGATTTTGATGTTGGTGGTACATTTTCATACAAGGTGTAACACACAATGCTACCCCACAAATTTCGCATTCATATTTTGATCGCTTTTCTTGCTTTCTTGTACTACAAAACCTGCAACGTTTGTACGTAGAAAGTTTCAAATAGTGATATCCCGTTTGCCCCAATCTAATTTCATCTGGAACCCCAAAAACACCCCCCTTTTTGTTTCTGAATACCACTGGATTTTGTTTTTTGTTTGAGATATGTGCCGATTTTAAGCTTCTAGCTAAACGTAATCTAAAATCTCGGTGTATGTTTTGACGATTTTCGTGTTTGTGTTTATATAAAATGTATGCGTTAATAATAGCACTCTCGAACAAAAACCAAAAGAGGCGGAACCATGACTTTTTTGACAAGAGTTGATATATCGATAACACAAAATAACTGTGTGTCTTTTTTGATAATAGTCGAAATAGTCCACGCCACCCATACTTCTTGTGTATTCTGCAATTATAGATGAACAGAACATATCTTTCTTTTCCCCGTTTTTTTGAGTCCTTTGGATTACTTCAACTTTGGTTGGGTTAACTGCCGTCGACAAAACATGCACATCTTTGGTATCCTTCCATTTGACCACAGCACAAGGATGACAGAAGCGGTATGTAAACTCTCCAGGATTCAATTTCGTTTCATTTGCCAGTCTTCTTTCTTCAGGAGTTTTAGGTTTTCGTGTAGACAACTCTTTAGGAAGACCTTTACGTAGCATTCGGACTGTTCCTGTAGCCAGAATCCCTCTATAATACAGACTTTCCATAAGAACTACAGAGGTAAAAAAATTGTCAAAAAGTGTATTTTAAATTTCCTCCTAGTTTCATTACAACTCTGTAACCTAAGTCTTCCTCATTAAGTTCTTGGTCTTTGCCTGCATAAATATCACACTGGTAGAGGTAACCACTTTTTGCATCACATCGACACCACACCTTGAACCCTCTCTTGATGGATTTAGCTGGCATATACTGTTTTTTACAGTCACGGCCTTTAAATTTAATCATACTTTCGTCCACTGACTGGATTTACGAGTTGGTAGCATTCTCTTGGAATGTCATGTTTAGATAAGTTAGCAGTGGTCTTATTTTTTGAAGTTTGTCATGGTCTTTGTCTGGGCATATAAGTTGTAATGTCGCAAACATGAAAATTTTCTAGGATTTTTTTGAATCTTTTGCAATTAATTGTGCTACTTATTTCTATGTTCTTATAAAACGGATCTGCACTCCAATACAACTCGATATCTGACTGAGGGCTTATTCCCATTAGAATGATTATCGCTAGAAATGCTTTTATTTCATTAACATTAGTGTCTGTCCAGAATTTGCTTTGTTTCAACGCTGCATATTTATTTGTATATTTGACGATCATTTCAAAAAGCTCATCTGGGAACAAATTACTAAAATATTCAATAGGGAGACTTTTATGGTTATATGATTTAGTGGGTTCCATTTCCTTATCAAAACTGTACTCCTCGAAATTTACAACTTTAGTAGTCCACATTCTATTCCGTGCCTGTAATTCAGCATAAGTTGGTAAATCAGCAGGTAATTTACTGATTGGTGAATACTCCGGTGAAAAACCTGCTGGCAATTTACTCTTCACCGACACCAAGAGCAAGTACTTCAGGGTTAGCGGGTAAGTTAGAGCATGGTGCAGACAATGGAACATAAGGTGGCATCTCTTTATCAACCGGAGGAGCAAGCACTTCGGGGTGAGCAGGTAAGTGAGATGATGGTGCAGACAATGGAACATAAGGTGTCAACTCTTCACCAACACCAGGAGTAAGCACTTCAGGGTTAACAGGTAAGTTAGAGCATGGTGCGGACAATGGAACATAAGGTGGCATCTCTTCATCAACCGCAGCAGTAAGCACTTCAGGGTGAGCAGGAGCAAGCAATTCAGGATGAGCAGGTAAGTTAGAGGATGATACAGACAGCGAAACACGAGGTGGCAACTCTTCAAGGTCATTGACAAGTGACGCTCCATAAAGTTGACATGGATCATCGTCTAAAATATTTAATAACTGTTGTTGTGACATACCCTGCATTTCATTCAACATTGCGTTTATTGTTCTTGGGACGTAATCCAAATGTGATTCTCCATACTCGTCCTCTTCATCTTCCTCTGATTCGAACATCTCATCAAGAATATCTTCGATCTGAGAATCTTTCAGTATCTGTAAAATAAAGTAATTACACACATAATGAATGACTAGTTAATAGATGACAAAAACATACCCACTACCATGTTAGCATATTGGTTAGAATATAATAAAAATTAAAAATGAAAACCGCGGGTAATAGCTAGTGAAGAAATAAACAATTCTAATTCATCAGGCTATGAACATATAGCTCCCACATAATCAACAGTACTATCAGGCTAAGGGCATATGTTCCCCACATTTTAAATTAGTTATATCTGTAATTTTGTTAAGTATTTGGTTAAAATTTATGCATAAATCAATAGAATAACTCAAAAACTACAACATATCAAAAAATTGTACGACTTACCTTTCGTTGTTTCGCCATTATTTAAAAAAAACGCGGCACTTGTTCAAAAAACACTCAACCAACTGACAATCACAGATTAACTAGCTATAAAGCGGGCTAAATACGACACGATATCGGTGGCGATCTAGGGTGGAAAGAAATCGGGGCTTTTATCGGGGTAGACCTTACATACGGGCCTGCCTAGCAGTACGCGTTCGGACTTGGAGCGGAATGCATATGCGGTAGAGTTCTTCAAAATACCTCCGACTCTCTTAAAACACCACCGTGTTGGTTTGGCATTAGCTATCTCGGTTAATTTATTCGAAAATAGAAAAAGAGAAGTTGCTGGGTGAAAAAATGGCTCCAAAAGAGATAAAAATTAAGCAACATAAACGTACTAAATGGCCTGTAATCCAAGGACGTGATTAATTTTCTCCGGATGGATGAAGACAGTTTTTATAACCTTCTAGAAATGATTTCGCCACTTATATAAAAACGTCAATTTCTCCTACCTATGCTATTTAGTTATTTCTTCTCTTTGTTCATTTCTGCTTTGGTCAAAATCTGGTTATGTATTACACACAACAAACAAGGAAATAAAAATACTTTTGTATAATAATATGTATACTTTTTTTTTAATGTAATCTTTATTTATGGAGTAAAACTATCAGAAAATAAAATAGGTTATATCTTTTTTTTAACATAAAGAAACCTTTAATTTCGGACATACTCCCTTTTATATAACTTGTTTGTTGATGTGGAGATGGTGAAGGAGTAGAAGTTAGTTGTTGATAAGAGGATGAAGGCACGTAAGAGATCGAAGTGTGGTCTTGTGGAGTTGTAAGAGATATGAGTGCGGTCTTGTGTTGATAGCGTTGGAATAGGAGTTAGTTGTTGAGGAGAGGCTTTATCTTCTCCTTACTTACATCATACACTCTACTTTACGAACGGCAATAAAAAAATTAGTTTAGTAGGCATTCTTGACCATGTCACTTCGCAGGGTCACAGGCTAGGGTGGATATGATTTGAATTTCGATAAAATTTCAATTAATTTATTTATTTTATTCACTTTTTTTGTTTTTTGTAAAATATCAGTGCCATAGGCTTCTACCAATGATCAAAATTTAAAAATTTTGTTATATAAAAAAGGTCATTCAGTATCACTGTTTTGTTAACTTCTTTCCGCGAGGGTTGCCGGCAGCGACTGCCAAAAGAAATCGGGCCGATGCGCCTACACACACGCAGTAAGGAGGGGGCGGTGCCCCGATCTAGGAAGCATCGGCTGATCTAGGAAGCATTTTTGCTCCTGCCAGCCGCTTAAGGAGGCGATATCGGCCACGACTTAGGATGGCCCTACATACGATACGATTTAGAGGCAATCTAGGAGGCATCCCCACTACTCCACCCTAGATCGCCACCGATATCGTGTCGTATGTAGCCCGCTTAAAAGTGACATTTGCATTCCGATTCTTTTTTTTTTTTTTGATGTGACTATAGGTAATATATTTCTACAGGGTTTTTGACAGTTTGTAGGCGTTTTATCGCCAAAACCTGTTAAGGGCAATGAAAATACTATGTGGGGGGCATGTTCCCTTATCTTGGTTAAGGGTTAACTTCAATCCCACCTGATCATAGATTACTGTGTATATACTAGAGACACCTGATGGTAAGTGGTGATACGGCCGTAAGCCGTAGTAAATTCACTGAACCGAATATCGATATCTAGTTTCAATCAATAATCTAAAATAAGTACTCCCTTCGCTCTGACAGCGTGCGACATGTTATACTCCCGTTCGCTCGGGACCTTAATGGCGGGAAAATTTGTAAGTTAGAAAATTTTTTTGCTATATTGCAAATTTTGCTATATTTTCACTTTGAGACAATATTTATGGATAAAACTTACAGGAATTCTTGTTGAATGTATAAACTATCGAATAATTGTAATAAAGTATATAAATTACCCTGTATAGCATTGTAGCAGTATATACTTCAATTTTAGTGACAAAATTACTACTAATTTGAATTCTACACTTTTGTTTTTGGAGAAATTTATATGAAATTGTTTGGAAATATGTACATTTTTATGTTTTATGTGTTTCCATTCGTTACTCATACCAAAATATTAAAATATTAAAAAAATAAAAAAAAATATTTTATCTGTAAGACATTTCGAACAATATTTCTAAAATATGTTTGTGTGAATTTGAAATAACTACAACGTCATGTTATTTGAAATATGTAGGAAAACTATTTTTACTTACATTTTACACTAAAAATAAATGAGAATTTGAAAAATAACACATTTATTATCCACCCGCCAAAACGGGCCTTCCGGAATTTGAAGTACTTTTGGCAATTTACTTTTCACTTTTTATACCACAAATTACATATCTACGTGTTTACTATATTACAAGGAATATAAAAAAGTATAATACTTTCGTTTTTAGTCCAGACACAAATATAAAATTCTATAAAAAAAGACGGAGCACCTTCATCAAATCGACACGTGGAACGCCGAAAGTTCAGAGTGATTTTTTTTTTTCTAAGAAACATTGCCAGGTTATGGTTTAAAATAAAAGAGCATATCTTTGTCTTTGATACTATTATCTATTGCATATTGTCTTTGGTTTTGTTTTAAAGGAAAAAGTAGTTTTTTCATAAGGCAGTACTTCTGATATTATCTGATCTAATTAGCCCCGTACTAGAGCGGACGTAAGGTAGGTATTGTATGATCTGATTAGATTGGTAGCCGAGTGAAAGAGGTACTAAAATAATATTTCTTTAAAAGCGCCATCTGTTGACTACACCCACAGCTGCTTGGCAATTATATGATCATAGATAAATAAAAAGCAATCGTATAATTGCAAAAAATCATGGAGGTTAGAGAACAGGAGAACGATCGCTGTAGAAAATAGTATCCTGAAATATGGTCAAAATAAGGGAAGCGCTGCGATCGCTGAGTTGTTTTTATAATTTTAATTGTTATGAATATTATAAATGATTACAAATATTAATTATTATTGATTAATTATTATTATTATTTTATTTATGATATTTCACCATTTTTTGTTTCTTTTGTCAAAAATTAAAAAAAATTACTTAGCAGATACTTCTTATCGACGGTAGCGCGGCTATAAATTCTACAAATTTTCAGGGACAGGCGGGCTATGCTTTAGCACGTAGCGATCGTTCTCCTGGTTTCTAAACTCCATGCAAAGAATTATATAATTACTTTTACCTCTATACTCCATAATCGGGATGTTCTCTACTCTCTTCTAGATATTCTATTCTAATCAGCATGCACTTAGAATTACGATTTACCATTTAAATTGTGCTACTGGTAGTATTCGAATTCTAGTAGCTTTTATGAAAAAAGGACAATCCCTAAGCCTAATATTATTTATTTACATTATTTTCTATTTTCTTTGCTTCAATTTTTCGGTGGCAACTGTTCTTTGAATAAAAGTAGTGACTGACCGAAAACCAAAATTACGTTCTCGGTTTCGGCCAGTCATACTGGTTTCGGCCACAGTTTCGGTTTCGACCAATATTTAGGCGAAACTTTGACTCGGTCGAAACGAACCTGCAATGAATTCGGGTCATGTTCAAAGTGGATGTAGGTAAACGCCGCATATACTGCTTGAGTTTGTCAGCTAAACATTGTCAGGTGTTTGTTCGTCGAAGTAATTCAGTTGGCGAAAATGTGAAAACACTTAAAAAAAACTTCTTAGCTTACAATTTAAGGTCTTTTAATTAATAATTATATATTAGCTTTCACTAACAAAACGTGGTCTTCCACTGATGGCCGTATGAGAAGGCAAAGAGTCACTTGGAGGGAGACATTCCCAGGTGTCCCTTTACGATTTCGATTCATCTACCAGTCCTTCTGCAATCTACCAGTTAACCCATGGAGTAGTGATAATTTGACGTAGGTGTAGCAGTATAGAATAAAAAACAAAATAAAAATGATAGTATAAATTATAAAGATATAACCTATGCATCATCATCATCATCATTACAGCCCTTCACAAGTCCACTGCTGAACATGGGCCTCCCCCAAGGTGTGCCACAAAGCACAGTCCTGAGCCACCTGCATCCCCCCCCCCCCCCGAACGGGTTCCCGCCTTGTCGTGGCGGGGGGGTTTAGTAGCCGTGGCTTGGTCTCCCACGGTGAACAAAGAGGAACCCACGTGGCTGGCCCGAAGTGAAGGGCCGGCCTGAGGTGGCCACTCCGAGTGGGCTTGGGGAGCCCACTTCGGATGTGTGCTGGTGGACTGCAGCGAGTGGGGACTCCGCACCCTCTACCGCTGCAGCCGAGGTGGAGTCGCGGAGGAAGAGGAGTGTTGGTATGGCGATGCGCCACTCGCCCTATCCTCCGCGACTCAACGGGGCCGCACCGTTGATGCGGTGGTGATGGGGCTGCGGGGGGAGAGGATTGTCGGTATTGCGAGGCGCCGCTCTCCCTATCCTCCGCAGCCGAATCTTGGTTGGCGGCGGAGCCATAGACCAGATCCGCCGCTGGGGTCGGGAAGGCTAGTACTTCTAAGTGCTCGTTTTTCCTGGCCCCATGGCCTTCGCGCATCGGACGCGGGGGCGTCTGTTGCGCAGATGTAATTGGAGGCCGTGGAGGAAGGCGTGCCACGTGTTCTGGTGCGCCTTACTTGGGATGGAGAACGGGGAGGAGTATTCCTCTCCCGAGGAGGTGCTGCCATGGGGCGGCAGTCGCTGGTAGGGCCGCGGAAGTGTGCGAAAGCGTTCCCGTAGCCCTGCCAATATGCGACGAAGGTGGAACACCATGGGGTTTAGCCGGTGCGAGTCCGACATAACCCGTCCTTGCCCCCGCGAGGCGGGTATGCGTAGGCATTTCCCCATGTTAAAAAAAAAGCCACCTGCATCCATCGACTTCCTGCATATCTTACCAGGTCGTCACTCCATCTAGTGGGGGGTCGCCCTACGCCTCGCCTACCGGTACGAGGCTGCCGCTCGAGAACCCTTTTTTCCCAACGGTTGTCGGTTCTTCGAGCTATATGGCTGGCCCA